AGTTTGGTTGCAGACTCTGAAGTGGAATTTCACGCTCCCAACAGAAGAACATACGGCGCAGCTGCAGGAGCAACTGGGTCGTCATGCAAAAGCTTCTCTTATGGCAATGCTGTACCATAAAGATTTCAAGCAACACCTGAAAGCCATTGAATTACTAAGCAAGGTATGTCGGCACAAAATTGCGATGTCACGGTCTTCTCACGTATCGTCTTGTTGTGATATGAGTACGTTGTGAAAGTAATCAAAGTTTGAAATGATCGGATAACATCGGGCTTTCAAATTTGATCGATAACATTCAGAGCGCAGAGACTAACCCTGAGTCGCTTGTGAAGAACAGCGACCTTCTGTTGAAGTGGTGTACACTGAGGTTTTATGAAACAAATCCTTCTGTTCTCATCAAGGTGGGTACATCTTCATAATCAGGTTTTTGTCATCATTTGAAGATGAAAATATGTGTTTGAGGTGCTGGAATTCGCAAAGCAAGTGCTTGTCCTCATGAGAGCTTTCGATGAGCCGATGTCTACTGAAGAAATGAATGCATTCGTGCCACACTTGCTTCTTAAATCTGGTGAACAAAAGGAAAGCATGCGCAATGCCGTTCGCGAAATAATTGACGAAATCACTGACATCTGCGGCCCATTCAAAATGTGTCCAACGCTCTTAGGTATTGTTGCTCTGTGTTATTGCTAAATTTAAGATAATTCTGCTGAAAAGTAGTAACGGATGTAAATTTTTGTAGAAGCTTTGAAGACAAAGAACGCCCGTCAGCGTGCGGAGTGTCTACAAGTTCTTGAGCAATATATCGCCCGTGCTGGTCTTACTCAGCTGAAATCTTTGGTTTGTGATAAATTAGGGCTAGTTCTTTCTTCCGAGTACAAGCTTTTTTTTCTTTCATAAAAGTAGTTCAGTTTACACAGCGCATTGTAATGGGATCAATGCCCTTGTACCATCTGCTGTGCTGGTTTCTTTCAATGTTTTTCTTTAGGGTATCCACAAGGCTATTGCGGCTTGCGTGAGCGATCGCGATAATAACGTAAGAAACGCTGCAATAAACGGGTTAGTGGCGTGCTATCGTGAAGAGGGCGATCAGGTTTCGTTTTTTCAGTATCATTGTATTTTTATCAGACTGACTGTTACAATTATTTTTCACTATTATATTTTCCGGTTTTATCATTTAGATGTGGCGGAATGTAGGCAAAATGGCTGAAAAAGAGCGTGCCATGGTGGAAGAGCGCATCAAACGATCTGGAGCGGCTCCTGGAAGCGCAGCACCTCGACCAGGAGGTGGCGGCCCAGTTAGGATTGGCGGTGCGAAGATAGTGGTACCTGCAGGATGTCAGTATAAGTGTTTCTTCTGTGTTTTCAAAATAACCCGAGTGCGTCGTGGGTGTACAATCTGTTTTTGAAGAATAACAAAAAACCCGAAATTGACAAAAACATAATCGTCCTGGGGTTGAAAGTAGTATGGGCAAGTCGAATTCTCATATGCAAGTGAGGACTATTCTCTTGAAGTTGTATCCTTCTCCGTAGAAGTAGATTAACAGCGTTAGGCATGTTAGGCCTTCTAGCGCATCCTCGAGTAGCGCAGTGCCTAAAACAGGGCCGATGTTTCAAAAGTCGAGCGACATCATTTTTTCTAGAAAGTGCACTGCGTCGTAGCAACGTGTTGCGAAACCTTGCACTTATGTTGCTCCGTATCGATTTCGGGGAAAAAGCAAATTTCGATATTCTAGCCAATTCTGCTGTTCGTCGTCCACATAGCCGCAGTGCCTCAGTTAGACGTGACGATTCTGAGACGCGCACCAGGGAAAATAGTCCCGACGGCGAGAGAGCTGGTAATTTTGCTCGTTACACCTAATTATTGCGTCTGTTTGCTATTTTTTCTGCAGAGTTGAACGGCACCTTTACACACGGCGAGGGAGGAGCTCTTAACACGACTGTGACTTATAATACTCGTTACACCATTGATGATGACGTTAGTCGTATTTGTATTCTGAATCACGCTTTGGTTTACTTATCGGTATGTTGCAGTATGTGGAACAAGGCCCCGCCGGTTTGGCCACAACGCAAATGCTAGATGAAATGGATAAAATCCAATACCGGGCACCATCGCGAAATCCTGTCGTTCCTCAGTTCCCCACTACGCCTTTGAGGTGAGATTTGGCGAAGTTCTTTTCGGTGCGTACTTTTTATTCAACTGAAACCAAATGCATAAGATTTATTAAATGCGATGCTGTGGAGAATTTATCTATGCTTCATGACAAATTGACGCACGCATTCTGTCATCCTCTATCTTACGCTTCATTGCTGGAAATATTACTAACTTCATAAATTTGCCTCTGTTCAGCATTCGGTTGCGAGCTCAATTGCCAGTAAATAAAAGCCAAAGCATTGAGTAGATATTGCTGAGTGGACGGTCTTGCAATGCCTATTATTAATCATATAGTTAATAATGGGAATCCCTTTTGCGCATGTTATCTATCAGAATTTGTAGGAATTTGTCTATGAATTTGATTCATGCTTTTTGATGGTGAATTAGGCAAAAATCGGTTCTAAAGCAGGAGATTTACAGAGGTCAAGGAGAAACTAAATATGATATTGTTAACTAAACTCGTTTGTTTTCTGGAGGCTCTTCTGATTTTTACGGTCAACGGACTACTTGAACTCAGCCCTTTAAACCGCCACGGCGCCTGATTTTTACCGTATCCTGAGCGTTCGAGATAAAGAAACAGCCACATGAGTAGTCATTTTTTATCCTTTTGTTTTGTACAGAGAACTGGATCGTCATCTTCTATCTCTTCAATTGACACCATGGATCAACTTGAAAAAGTTATCCAAAACATATCATCTGGTCTCATCGATGTCGCTAAGGATGCTCTGGAACAGGTCCAGCGTACTTTCCATTCGAAGTTTTGCTTTTAATGCATTTTTTTTCTCGTTCTGAATTTCTGAATAAGAAAGTTAATTAAAGGTGCAATATCTGTTGTCGGTGGATGATCAAAGAGCTCTGCTGGAGGAGATCGCTTAGATATGGTGATGCAGACTGTCGGCACGCAGCTGAAACTCGTCCGAAATATGCATGGCATCCATACACCCAAAGGACAAGATATGCTGAAGATTATTCTCAATTTCCTGACACCGGTTAGTTTTTTAGTGTCCGCTATCAAGTAAGAAATTTTTTCATCCAAGTGAAGTCTTTCATTGAGTTTTTATGCTAATGACCTTATTCTGTAGTTGTTCCGGACCAATGAAATGTTCAGCTGACTACGTCTGCTGATAAATACGCTCGGATGAATGTCGGTGAAGATGCGACTAATGGAATACTTTGGGAATTAGTTCACACTCTGATAAAGACCCAGTCAGATCCCGTGTGCTCTGCTATGCCTGATTCGCCTCATGTGAGCAAAACTTCACTATACATTTTCTTTTTTTAAGTAGTCGATCACTCTGTTTTAGTTTGGACGTTCTCTGAACGCCTTGATCATTCGATTGTGTGTACGAGTAGAACGAACCGCGTTCTTCGCTGCGTGTACGCGGTGTTTGATGACCAGCCTTCTTGAAGATCCTGAAGGAGATGCTGCTCAGCTCTTCATAAAGGTGTTATTTAATTCCTAGCATGATTTAATAGCGTGCTCACATGTGTACAGTTTGATAGTCGTTCATCGTTTCAGTGCATGTACAAATGGGCTGATACTATGGTAAAGCAAAAGACGTTCATTGATATGGACCTGTATCTTCGTGCTGCAAATCGTTTTTATGATCAAATCCAGCCGGTCGGTATAATCTTTTTTGCAATTTCACATGATATTTTGTGAGCTTGACGAAATTCGCAACAATTTCCAGAGTTCGGGTAGTCATCGATTGTTTATGGATGGCATTCGTTCTGTGGAAATGTGTTCAGAGCAGGCAATGATCGTAATGGGACCAACGGTATGTGGCTATCATGCATGAATAGGGCGATTATTCATGCATGCCGTCAATTAATTATGTTACTCTTAGACGTCCTAGTTTCTATTTCACGAGTGTCTTATGAATGAACGGATGAATTGCTCATTTAGCTTCTTGAAAAACTGAAGAGACTTCCAAAAGCAAACCCACATTTCGTTCAACATCTCCAAGCGTGCTACGCAGAATGTCAGAGAATAAATCCGGCTGGTTGGGGAGCTTCCTTACCTGGAGCGGTGAGTGCAAATTTCCTATATTTGAGTAGTCCTGAGCAGAAGCTAATCGTTCCAAGTAATCATGCTTTAAAATATAGTTTGCTAGTCAAAAGGAGCTCATCGTTCTTCCAAAAAAGTCGGGCTTCTCACCATTCCATCCCTTTATCATGCTTCTCTCTGAAGTCTATGTCAGACTCGGCGGTCGTGCAATCGCGACAGCGTTGTGACCGTTTGCGCACAATTGCTAAATGAGGCGTGTCGTTATTGATCCGTATTGTTTGCGTTGGGCGTGCTGTTGCCCTTACACAGTCGCCGAGTGTGACATCTTAATGTCGCGAGTTCTTGTTCTGTCTACATATATCCCACGTGATCTCTTAGACAATGTATACCATACGGAAGAATTCCCCTCGTCGATTTCTGTCTCTACCCTTTCATTTCATGTAGTATCTCGCCGATATTTAAA